TGTACTAGCTAGTGGTACGAAGAGAAAAGAAGTCAGCCTTCACCTGGACTCAAAAAAATCCGGGATAACTTCAATGTAGTAACCATTGACTTACAATTAAATGGACGACGGGTCTAATACAGAAACCACGAAAAAAATGTCCCAAGTCAACCTATTTAAACGTAGTGACATGTCAAAGAATATGAAAAAGCTAAAACGTTGAATTTAAATTGTAATGTCATCGCAGTACTGTCTAATTTTGCTTGCTTCGCTGTCAGTCAAACAAACGAAGACTAGAGTGTGAATGACGCTCTGTATACGATTTTAACGCCCTATAAGTTCGGACACTTTTTAGCGCGGACCGGACGTCCATATAATTGTAAGTCAATGGTAGTAACCGTTGAGTTATAAACGTGTCGTCCTTGTCAGTGAGTAACGTAAAGTAACAAATATACTAAACAAAGAAAACGTGATTAAAATAACCAGACGGTTACTAAGTAATTTAATTACAAATTAAGACTAGGTTCTATAGCACACGATACGTGTGCCATACAAGTGTCATTGGAATAAGAAACTAAATGCGAATGTGATTTTGTATGTTTGTTTGATCACGCTGAAATTATCTCTGTACTGGGGTAGCCTTCGTTTCGCAGGGAGGTAGTGCTGGAGTCATCACCTCCAGCAAAAAACGCTAGGCTCAATTTACATTGCGGCGTAACGAAATGGAATGGAAGCGTCAATTTCGCGAAGAAGGCACGCGTGATCGCTGAAATTCTCGACCATTCGCGAGCTTTCTCGCAACTGCGCCTTGAGGCTGTAGTATTTTGACGACGTTTAACGTCACACTGCGCCTGCCTTCGCGCCACTTCCCGCGAATGCGCGAGCATTCGCGAGCACTTTTGTCTGAGAGGAGATAATGTTTGTTAATTCTTCAAGAAGACTGAGTTGGAACGTCTTATGATCAATGATCTTATAAACAACTTTTGATAGACAAATTTTATGCTTTATTTCGAAGAAGACTGCTAATATTGTGTTACGTATGGATCTCAATTACCTATTGAAGATTAGATTAAAATTTTATTGATATTGTACCAAAACACGCATTTTTTTTCAAGCAAATTGCGAATCTATTGAAAACTTTAAATATTCTGAAAAAATCGGAGATCAGCAGCTTGATTTTGATTGCCTCTCCCGATCGGAAGCTGCGTCTTTTCCGAGTCGAGGCGCATAATTGCGATTCACAACTGGCCTATCGGAAACTTTTGACATTTCTAATCGGAACAATAGTTGATTTAACTCACAAATTAGAAAGATATAGTTTTATCTTTTCGCTCAGAAACCCATCTGATTTCGAGACTATCCAATCAGAACGATTCCGGTTAGAATTAAAATCAGGACGCGAGTCGGCGGAGGACGGCTCGGCTACGGCACAGTGTAAAATGAATCATTCTTTACACGGCCGTTCCTTAATACATGATATTAGAACTAAGAGCGATTACACACGGCGACTTATTATGCATCGATACAAACGCAATAGGCAATTGCATCGCTGCTAAGTCTCCGTATGTAACCACTCTAACATAAAAATGCAATTTAACAGTTCGTGACGAAGCTAAAAGAATTTCAATCAGTGGCCTGAGATAAAATTTGAGGTTAGAGGTCACCATTCTAAGTCTATAGAAAAAATATTTATAATAAAATTTTGAGCTGAGCTCTAAAAAAATAAAAATTGAGTAAGGATAGATAGATAGATAGATAAACACTTTATTGTTCACACACAAGAACAAGAATAGTAAATAAACAACTTACTAATGTGGGCAAAGGCGGTCTTATCGCTAAGAGCGCTCTAAGGAATTGACTTTCTGCTTAGTATACAATGTGTTTTTATGAAAGGGCTCCCAAATGCAATGCATAGGCAGCTCATCTGATGTTACAGACTCTGCTCGTTTGCCTCCTACTTTACACTACCAAAAGAGATTTGCAGGTAACGAAGATTAAGCGTTTTAACATGGCTACCGTAGTAAGGTATTTTATTTGAGTTCGTGTTGTTATTTTCCAGTCTATAATACTACTAAAACATTTTAAAATTCAACAAAAGATATACGGCGCGAACGAGGTCGCAGGCACTCGTTAGTTACTTTTTAACTTTTTAATATGCAAACCGTGTGAACGAAGCGTCAATGTAATCTGCCAGTAGGTCGCGATCGTCAGCTGATTGGCTTGTTATAAATTCTTTGTCACGATCACGACACGGCATTAAAAAAAATATATGCCTTGTGATAATCTGTGGCTTTGTTTACACGGGAAAGGATTACATTATAGAAAAAAGGCGGGATTTTATAGTAACGATTTGCACGCAAATTAATTTTTATTAAAATATTATTATTTTTTGAGTTTCTTGACTATTTTGTTACCTGTTAAGCTAATGGTTTTATAGCCAATAAATAATTAATAATGCTGTTAGGACTACAATTTTAAATGGTAGCATTTTTTTGTATTTTTTAGGCCATAAGACATGTTTCTAGTAAGGGTCGTACTTTTTAATTTATGTTATATGAGTTGGGTTTTTACCTAAAGCGCTTTATTGTGCTTGTTGTTGTTATTGGGGAATTATAGTAATAAATCAGGTAACAACAGCAAAAGTTTTCATTTTACAAGCAGATTTTAGAACAAACTATCAGAAACAAGGACAACATTTTTAAGTGTAATTTTTTGCAAAACTATTATCATATTGGTTGACACGTTAGTGTATAACAGCATCCAATTACTACACGGCACATGGGGTGTTGAAACGCCGCGGGCGTGCGGCGACGGAACGCGAACGCATCAGACAAGGGATGATGAAGCGGGAAGGGGTGCTGCGATGCATAAGATAGCGGCGTTAAGACGCGACGACGCATTGCTCGAGTGGTTGAATTCACAGCGATGCGATGAACTCAAACTCATACTCAAAACAATTCCTACAGTCGACCAATGGACACGTCTAGACAGAGCAATCGTGTGTGGTGTGTGCGGCGTGAGAGGGGTGGGTGCGAGCCCGAGCTGCTAGACACTTGGTCGGGACACCATTCAGGGTTACGGCACGTATGTTAAATATTTCGTGTGAGTGTTGTAGTGAGTTGTTGAGTGGAAAATGGTACATACTACATCTGTTGTTAGAGACTGGATATCATCATCTAGCATAAACAAAAATCTTTAATTTCATCAATTTCCGCATACGAAAGAAAGAGAGTCAAATATTTTATTTATTTTGTTTGGAGTTTTAGGTAATGAAATTATATTTTTCTAATATTTTTAAAAGTAAAATGGTTCTTCACACTGTGTTCAAATCATCTTTATTTCATACGTAAGTAAATTACACTTGAAATTGCCATATTGATTAAACTCTACTTCTCACTCGTACGGCGGATTCCCCTGAGGAGAATGCGCAAGAAACTCTAGGGGTTACTCTTTGTAAATATACATTTGAATACATTTATGTTTACTATTTTTATTTCAAACATCTTCGAGGTTACTTGCAAGAGTTAAACGGGTTTTCATGAGGATGAGGCTGATTCATTACGGATGTTGGCATGAAAACCGTCACCAGCGCCTTTGCAAATACGGTAGGTAGGTAGACGGACTGCAGAAACTAGCCAGCCCTAACAACGCCCTAACCAGCATTGTTATACTGAACTTGAAATTTAATACGGCTCCAGTCCTAGTAATTAAGCCTTTAATGTTTTTGGCCTCTTATATAATTATTGGTACTGTCCTTCATTGCATCTGATTGCTAGTTATAAAAATTCTTTGAATTCTACGATGTAACGAGGTTATCGCGGTTGTGACACATTGGAAATTCAATTTGAAAAATAGTTAGTCGTGAACAGGAACCTGTAAATGGTTCGAAATGTGTTGATTTGTTTGAATAAACAAATATACTCGCTGTTGCTTCGAAAACAATAGTAACTTTTTTATTAAAAAAAAAACCGTCCTCAAGAGTACATGGAATTACCTACATCTATTTGTCAAGTTTTATTGCAATTGGTTACAGGAAAGTGCGCGAAACCGGATTCATCGTCTAGTTTACCACCCATAGGGGTGGAATATTTTCTTCAAATTTAAATGGGATCAATACGGAGGTACCCTGTTTTCAACAAAAATGAATCATCGAAATCCACAATGCCGGAGTAATTGCGTAATATACATACAAAAAATAATAATGATACAGTCGAATTGATAACTTCCTCCTTTTTTTGAAGTCAATTAAAAACATTATTTTTTATTGAATAGTATAATTATTTATTTACGACCAAGACATTCACCTGTTTTATGTTTTTGTGAAAATACTTCACTAGTTAGAAAATCGTAAAATCCGCCGACTCCATCTGTACCTCAATTGGTAAAAGCGGTGGCCACATTGAGGCTTTTTTAATGGCAAATATTTAAAATAAATATTATTACTTATTTCAATACCTGCACCTTGTTATTTTAATGTTATAAAAACGTTTTCATGCTGGCCTTCGATGAACCCTATGTCGTAGAAGGAAATGTTGTACCTCATTCTGAATAAGATTTAAATGTGCCACAGACAAATATGGATTGTTTGTGGCACAATTTCAATCAAACATACAACATTAAAAAAAAAAACTATCACCTGTGGTAGAATACAAGTAAAAGATACCAATCCGAGATGCTGATTTAAAAAATATCATTAAGTGAGTGTGTAGATGAATTCTTTATTCATTCAAGTAATGTATTTATCAAAGATTATTTCAGTATAGCAGGAGAAGACTGTGATTAACACCTTAATTTTTAACCAGACTTCAAAAAAACGGAGGTCTAAATTCGACTGTTTTTTTATGTATGTTACGCGATAACTCGTAACATTTGTGAACCGAGTTTGATGATTCTTTTTCGTAGGAAAGAGGGTACCTCGGTATTGGTTCCATTTAAATTTGAAGGAAATATTCCACCTCTAAGAGCCGGGTCACACCACTCAACAAATAAATAATAATACTAAATAAGAAAAAAAAACTTACTGCAACAAATAGACTTTCGCTGTTTCAATTTCGAATCCCCGTCTGAACACGGATTGGTCAGGCAATTGGCGCAATCTTGATTGTCTATGGTGTTAGCGATGAGGCTGTTAAGGGAGTCGCTGGCACACTCCGCGCTTTCGTTCGTTTCAGACGGATTTGGTGTCATTGTTTTCTTTGGTTTGTCTGTAAAAGGATTAATAAATAAGAAACGCTGCAACTTAACATTATGTTCTGACGACAGATAGTCGTGCGCTTAAACTGTCGTGGCTTGTTTTATTATAATATTTAAATGAAGTCGTTCATACATTGAACAACATGACTAACTGTCATTCACGATTTTTTTGACGTTACGACGACAGACTGTCGTGACAAAGGGAAGAGCTAGAACGACTGTCGTTCGGTGATAAATAAAACGTCACGATGAAAATGTGACGACAGATAATAGTAGCTTCAAACGATTCTGTCGTGCAAACGACAAAAGCGGCTGCCTTGAACCGATAAATTATCGTCACGATCTAGTGGAACAGCTAGACACGACAGTCGTTCAATGATAAAATAAACAATTACGACACAGTCACGACAGATAGGTAGGTTAGGTAGAAAGGTAGGTATTCTCGAGACTGCGCTAGGAATTCTCTGGAAGACTTTCTGTTTTATGCTCGTGTCTAGTTGGTACCTCTTGTATTAGTTTTGTTCCAAATTTTTAGATTTGTTTTTTTTATAATACCTAGTGACGGGATGAACAAGGCGTGTGCCTAGTGGTAAGCGACACGCCTGTCCTTAGCAGTTGCAGTGCCACTCTGAGCTTTAAAACGCAAACTGCCACTGCCACTGCGCCGGTCACCCAGAGACATAAGTTGACAAGTCCAATGCGCTTGTAATTTCACCCTTACCCTTCCAAACCGCAATGCAGTAAATAATGATCACATTACAGCTCGGCGGTAGAAATAGGTAAGGTGGCAATTCGTCACCCTGTGACATAAAGTTGACAAGTCCCTGTAGGTTCACCAGCAACCCACCGGAACGCCGTTTTGTTCACATTACTGCTTGGCGGTAGAATAGGCAGTATTTTACTAGCGAAACAATTAGTCCAGGGAAGTACTGCCATCTTATCTATTTCTGCCGCCAAGCAGCAATGTGAGTATTACTGATAAAATTTTACATATTATAAAAATAAAATAAAAATAAAAATCGTTTATTTCTCCATCCACAAATATTACTTAAAAAGAGATATTAAATGTAAGGTGAGAATTTCAAAACAATATTTGTGGAAAGCTGGAGCCTAAACTAAATCTATGATTTGCATTTTAGGTTTCCAGGCCTCCCAACTCAGATTCAGTTAATTACGTTTATTGTTTGGTAATATGTAGAACTTGTAGAGAAGAAGATACGCATGAGTGTGTGTGTGTGTGTGTGTGTGTGTGTGTGTGTGTGTGTGTGTGTGT